ATTGGGGCAGCTCCGTATAGCGATCCCCAAAAAGGGATCGCTATACGGATTCTTCGTTGTACGGTGCACTTGTTAAGCGAGGCACCACTGTATTTGACTACAGCATCTAACATCCCTAAATAACATAGCCACACTGTCTGGGCTGATGGGTGTTGTAGTCTCACACATACAAACGAGATCAGATAAAGAAGGCGTCATGCAGAAAAACTGGAAACAAGCAAACAACCCTAGAAGAGCATAATCCTGTTCCCCCACCATTCACCAATTCCAATTCTTTTCTGGTTTGAAATTATCCATGTTTCAAATGGGACTTTAAGATGCAATATATCTTCAATACAAAAAGTGTACTGGACTGTGATGTACATTGTGTTTCAGTGTGTGGATCACCATTTGCTCGATTTTGTTCTTTACAGAATGTCATGAAGTCGCCTCTTTGGTCTGTAGAAAGCGAATTATTCTAGGTGTTGTAGATTCAAACCTTGAACTGTGCCTTAAAAATTGTAGGAAATTAGCGAGATAAACTAGTGACTATACTATGTTTGTCTTCTTAGCCTAGTACTACTGGCATGGGCTTCACAGATTCATACTTCTTGCTATCTAACTTTATTTTAAAATAAAATAAAACTGAAGTTGCACCCAGTATCTTGTTTGAAAAGTAGGTGCTGAGCTAGAGTCCCTTCTATGTAAGAAGTGACTTACAGTGTGCAGTTTTTGGCTAGTTAGGCAACAAATTGTAGGTGGCAGCTTGCCATGGTGAAATGGTGGGAATCACCACCTGGACCATTGCTGCAAACATCTGCCACTTCACAATTGGGAGTAAGGATAGCTGTTCACTCCTCTCAGAGGGGTGGCAACCCTACTTTGATGAACAGAATGGTTGAAACCAAGCATTTGTGTGTATGTGTCATCAGTCTACTGTATAATCTTGCCAGTCGGAGAGACTTTTGAATGAAGCCAGAAAACTAGCTGAAATTAGCTTGGGTCTTATCTTCCCAATTCTGTGTATAGGCACTTTGAACATCTTTGGCACAAGTGACTTTCTGTGATGTTTTTCATTCATATGGGTTCATTTGGTTTTCTAAGTCAGGAGGAAACACTGATGGGCCAATTCAAGATTATGTCTTGCAGATCTTTCAAAAACAAGGAGCCCTTTAACACTCAGATAAGAGAAATGTTGACAGTAAAGGAAATGTTAGACATTTGGCAATGTGAGCACTTAATGGAGCTTAATAAGCTGGTAAGGAAAATCCTAGACAGGAGTCAGATGGTTAAGTGATGGCTAAAAGCAGCTGACATCCAGCATGGACAAGCGTTTCCTTTACAGAGTTGCCAGCCTGTGATTAAAAGAGCACCCCCACATTGCATGTCTCATTTTTTCTTGATTTTATGTTGGATATGTAACAATAACTGCCATATTAAAATTTCTCATACATTTGAATGACATCAGTCAGTTTCCAAGCAGGCATAGATGCTTTTTAACATTCCAGCCTTTAGTGATGTTTCTGAGTGCTTTGTGCCTTTTCAAGCACGCTTAATGCAACAGAAGTAGAGGGTGCCTAGAATACTGGTATAAAAAACAACCCGTAACTAGAAAACCTAGACTTCCTAATGGCATAGATTAATAAGAGACAAGTTACCCTTTTAAATTTTTATTTTATTTTGCAGAAAGTGCTACTGGAACTGTGGCACACTTGAGTAATGGTCTATATCAATAATAGTGTTTCTGCGAAAGAAAAAGCATCCAAGAGGCAGATAATGTGTGGTGGTTGCTCACTGTGGCATTTGCTTTTACAGAACTTGGTGGCAGTTCTTGTAATAGAGCATAGGCGCATTCTTATCTGTGTCTCACAGAGAATGGCAGAAAAACAACTTGTAGGCTGCTCGCAGCAGACTAGAAGTGCCACCTGCCACTATTGTTTCCTAACAACAGCCTCTGTCTTCTCTGGTCTAGTCACCTTGGCAGATTTATCCTGATGTCTAAGTAAAAACTGGAATTCACCCCAGAAAACTGTTTTAGTTAAAAATAAATTATTGGCTGAAGTCCTGTTAGTGTAAAGTCCTGTTACACCATTCAAGCTTGATGGCATCACCATCATCCCTCAACTGATCTGTTTAATTTGCTTAAATTGAAAACTTTCTATCCCCACCCCCTTTTCAGGTTCCAAGGCTCCCAAAGTGGTTTTCCAATGTTAAAGGCTTCCTTCCATATACCGAGCCTCCCAAAAGCTTCCTCAGAGCAAAAGGGATCCCTAAGGAATCTCAGAGCCTGAAGCGTGTCTGTATGTGTTTATGTCTGTGTGTGTTGTGTGTGTGTGGGGGGGAATCAACGTTCCCTCTAAGCTGTGTGCATGTGCAGAGGTCCATCAGGGCTGTACATCAGCAGCCAGTGTTGATGCCTTTTTAGTTCTCTTTTTAGATGGAAACACATACC